GCTTAGAAATTGTCCAAACCCCACGTGTTTTGATCAAGGAAATCCACCAATACACAAACGAACTCACTCAACTCCTTCAAGAATTCGTCCACCCAACTCAAATTAAGGTAGCCCTTCGCGAATACCTCATCGTCGTCAACGAAATCGTCCGCAAATTGCAAGAAGAGGTAAGCACGAAAAATTATAATTCGAAAACCTTGGAACCGATTCTCTTTTAGACTGTCTTGGGACACAAAGAACTCGACCTTGTCTTACATCAGCTCACCAACAAACTTCGTGAAATCGTGTACCCCATCATGGAAATCATGACCGAAAACACCGTTGATGTGAAAGTCTTCAGAACCCAAATCATTAGCAACTTGCGCGAAGTTGTTGCCATCTTCGAGCAATTGGTACAGCTCTGCGAAGACAAAATCTTGCGTAAGTAACCTCAGAATGGGTTAATGGTAACAGTAGTTGATTTTTTGTTTTTTTTTGCAGCCGTAGAAATCAGGACTCCTCTCGTCAGAATCATCTACCACTACTTCTACGCCGTCAAGCACGTTATCCAAGAAACCAGATTCGGCAACAAGATCGGTTTCTACACTCCCAAGTACTACACCACCGAATTCTATGGCAAACACGGATACGGACTCTACGAAAAGGAATTCCACAACCGCTTCTACACCCCATACCAATACGAAACCAAATACTACAACATTCCCTTCGAATACAAGAACATTGAAAACAACTACTACAACCCATACAGCTACGAAACTCTTTTCCCCGTTCACCAGAACCAAATCGAGTCTTTCTATGGCAAAAACCACCAGTGGAACAAATACGAATCCCCCAAGGATTTAGTCTTAACCGTCCAAATGCTTGTCAAACGCATCTTCAACCGCTTCGAACAGAACACCTGGGAAGTTACCGATGTCAACACCGTTCTCCTCCACAACATCCGTGAGTTCATCAACGTCCTCGACAACATCTCGGAGAAATTCGAAAACAAAGTAAGTGTAATTCGCCGGATTTGTTGACGATGACTAACCAAAATTGTTTTCAGATGACCTTCGAACGTTCCCTTCACACCGAAAAGTACGTAGAAGAATTCATCTACAGAATCAAGGAAATCAAGAGAGAACTCAAGCAAACCATCAACACCGAAGTTTTCACCAACTTGCCTGAACTCAAGATCCGTTTCCTTCGTTACATTGAAGTTGTTGCTGCCGAATTTTGCAAATTGATCGAGAACCAAGAAGTATACGGTCTCGAAAGTTTCTTGATCAAGGATATCTTCAACAAATTCATCTCCTTCTTGAACAAGGTCAGCTACGAACGCAGCTACGTCTCCGAGCACTACCCAATCAAGGGATTCAACGGTTTCTCCTCCAAGTATTACAAGGACAACACCATCGTCCCATCCAATTACAACAGCTACTCCCACGGGCTCCCAACTGTTTACAACCAATTGTACTAAAATGTGGTTTGCTGTGATTACCGATATTGTCTCAGTATTTAAATAAATCTAGACTTCATTATACATTCTTATTTTCTTCTATATATTCTTATTCTAAAAGGTACTACCTACCAGAACACGCTACACTCAAAAATATATTACAATTTTTCAAATTTGATGGGAAGTTTGAGGACAACATACAGAAAATCATTGACTCTTTATGTTAAAAAAATGCTGTAGCTCCTATAGGGTCAGGAAAGTTAAAGCTTACTTGTGCGATGTCTGTTAACAGCCGAAACATTAGATAAAGGTGCATTTAATGGGAAATTTTAATTGGAATGGTTACCTTTCCAAGAAACAGTAAAGTACCGCTAATATTCGATCTGCGGATCCTCAAGGTAAGTCGAGTTCACGTGAAAATTTGGATTAAATAAAACTTTGGGAAAGGTTGAATCGACTTTTCGAGTTAACTTAAATCAACGGGTCAAATATTGTGATCCTTTCCATTTCTAATCTCCGATATAAAAAGGATTGAGCGAATCAACTCCTCTGATCCGTAAACCCTACCCATCCCGCATGTTTTCCCGATACATTACTAGGTACCCATAGTTGGCGTGAAAAATGGTAAAACTCTGCGAAAAAATGATTTTACAACTAACTATAACCTTTGAAATTCGAATTTTATATTCAAAGCTATAAGAGATGGACATACAAATCAACAAGAACTCTGCATGAAAAGTGCCGGTTTGTTAACGGGTAATTGGTAGCTAAGTTGTGTCAGCAAGTCTCGTACCTACCTAGTCAGTCGAGGTTACTGGTCAGAGTATTCTGACCCCTTATGTTTGTTTTTGACTATAATTACATTCATTTTATAGAATCTTCTAACACCATCTAAATTTTCAACATCATTCTAACGAGAGGTACGTAATTAAAGAAGGTCACTGTGAAATACTCAGTACAAAATTCACCGAAAACATGAAATAAAAAGCAAGGCTGCACACTTAAGCAAAAAATATGACTCTGTATACATCCTCAAATGTTAGAACTTGCGCTGGCACCGCCGTTTACGACTAGCCAATTAAAATTAGGGCGTTTTAGTTTATATAGAAACACCATAGATGTCTCACATCTGAGATTTCCAATTAAAACGTGACAGTACCTAACGTCAGATGGTCAAACCCTCTGGGAGGAGAATGGCCATCTACTTTAAACCCTAAATATTTTAAACACTTGTGCTGCACGCTCTCTAGTCTATTCTTGTGATTCCTGTGAAGAGGGTTCCAAACCAAAGCACCATTCCAATTTAGACCTTACTAGGGAATACTTCAACGAGTCTATATTTTGGAATGATTTGCAGTTATGCAAAATAAATTCAAGGGTAGAAACAGCAGATTTTGAAATGTTATCAATATGTTGTGTAAGCTCACTATCGAAGTGCATACCCAAATCGACTATATCCTGTACTCTGTTCAAATATAATTAAAAATAATAAGGTTAAACTTACAACTATAGCTAACTACGAGTACATTACATTGGCTAATATTTAAACAAGGCAATTCTTGACACACCATTGGTCTAAAACATCAAGTAGTTTCTGCAAAAAAAGTACAATCTACAATTGTCGGAATGGAAGAATATATATATTTTAAAATCATCAGCAAAAAGCAAATTGCTACCCTCTATGATAAAAGGTAAATCGTTAAACAAAAAAACAACATCAATAATGGATCGAGGTTAGACCCCTGAGGTACTCCTGAAGTAGCAGTAATTGGCGAAAAAATGAAGTTATTATACAGTGAGTTTTTTTTAAATGCGAACATAGGAGTTTGCATGCAATGTAATTTCCCTATGTTCGATTTAAAAAAAAACACATCAATCTGAGGTGTGCGCGGTTCACATTCCCAAAACGCGCAACTTGTGTGACTATGAACAGCAACTCATAGTCTTTATGATGAAGAGCACTCGGTAAGATTTTTTAAATAAGCCATGTGAGGCCATAGCAACTTTAGGATACATTTTTCTTAAACTTACGATAACTTGACTTCACATGACACCACAATTCATTGTGAACCAACCTTCAATTATTTGTAGGTCATGTGCACCTGATATTCTACTAATTTGATTTATTCAATACATAAATGAAGAAAATAAGAAAATAAATAACGCAAACAATTACAATAAATGTTCGAAGTGTCCTCCTTGACACTCTAAGCAATAACCTAACTGATTTCGTAATTAAATTGGACGGCGGTATTTTTAAAAATGTGACAGCTGTCAAAATTGTATCTACTACTCATTTGAACTACTCAATACATTGATGTGTTCTTTTTAAATCAAACATAGGGAAATTACATTGCATACAAACTCCTATGTTCGCATTTTAAAAAAATTCACTGTATGTTACATATTGATATCTGCTATGTAGGTATGACATAAAAGCTGCAGAGATTGGGCAAATCCAAAGTTTTCCAATTTGGCTAAAACAATATCATGAGCGATAGAGTCGAAAGCCATAGCAAAGTCCGTGTAGACTGTAGATCATGTCAACTTGCCCCTTATTATCTATGATGGTTTCCATAAACTGAGTAAGACAGACCAAGTTTGTAAAAGTCGATCTTTGCTCCATAAAACCATGCTGGGCTAGAGATATTAGTCGTCTAACAGATTAATAGATTCTAGCGCTAGCGTAAAGACTTTTTTCGTATAGGTACCCTGGCAAAATTAATTTAAATACCAATTGGTCTGTAATTCGTCACATCCCTCGCACTACCACTTTTTTAATAAATAGGACAAATATTGGCCACTTTCCAGAGTTTCGGAAATGTACTGGATTTAAGGGAAATATTGAAGTCATGAAATACAAATCTTGGGAATAAAAATAGAATTTAACTTTACGTTAACAAATAAAACGTTCAGTGGCTCTCCACCCCGAAATCTAATTGTGATAGAAATTCAAGCTAAATCCATTTTCAAAATAAAAGAAGGGTTTAAAAACATTCCATTTGGTGGTACAGATCTATTGCATCAACGGAAACTAATGCGGTCATTGATATTTCGTAAGTTCTCTTATTTCTTTCAAATTCTTCAACGTTTTAGGTTCCCATTTGGAACAAAATAATTGTCCTATGATTATTTTAAGGTCAAAGAAAATTTTTGAAGGAGATCGTCTAACAAAAAAGTTCCATTAGAATAATTAAAAAAATAAAAATAAGTTACGCAAAAGAGATAAATGCAATACTCTAATAATTAATGTAATGCTGATAAATAGGTCAATGTTCGAATTGTGAAGGAAATTCTATGCCATCCTCTAAAATTTTAGCAAGAAAGTGCCCTTTGTTCACTCTCAAATTGTATGCATACTCCCAAATAATCAAGACTATTCGGCTGCTCTCGTTGTACGAAATGTATCCTTGCAGAAGACCCTGAAACAATCATTATTCGTCGCTTATCTAATTGTTATGTGAGAAAGGTGATGTGATAAGAGGGTGAATGAAACCAATAGGTCAAATGATGGATATTTTTGTAGTATAAATAGGAACCGAATTTTGGATGTCCGCACTTCACTTGTTGAGGCAAGCAAGCATAAGTGAACATGGCAAAGTTAGCGATCTTCTTCTTGGTGGCTGTGGCTTTTCAAGTAAGTAAAACTATTCATTTTGGTAAGTTTGATAATTATTTGGTGTTGCTCTTCTTAGGCCAGTTTCGCCGTACCAACTTTCTACGAAGATAATACTCTTCTTAAGTACGTGAGCGAAATCCGCAACGAAGTACAAGACATCACCTTGTACCTCGAAAAAGACTTCCCCGAAGATCGCTTGGCTCTTAAAACCGTCACTTGGCAATGTCACAAACTTGTTGAAGCTATCCAAGTAATCATCAACAAGCTCCACGAAGAAACCTTCACCTACCGAAGTGAAGGAGTTGGCATCTTCAGAGAAGTCGTCTCCCTTTTGAAGGAAGTGCGTGACTCGCTCAAACAAATCACCCTCTACAATGAAATCACCAACATCCACGAAGTTAAGAAGAACTTCATCGTCTCCATCAACCTGGTTCTTGAGCGTTTCGAAAAATTGGTGCAACTCACCTACAAACTCTACCCTGAATTCCAATACACTTTGAAATACCTTTTCGTCGACTTCTTGACTACCATCCGCGGAATCCGTTCCCACTTTATCCACATCAACGAAGGTTTGGAAGTTGTCAAAGCTCCACGCGTGTTGATCAAGGAAATCCACGAATACACCAACGAAGTTACCCAGCTTCTCCAGGAAGTTGTCCACCCAACCCAAATTAAGGTAGCCCTCCGCGAATACCTCATCGCCGTCAACGAAATCGTCCGCAAGTTGCAAGAAGAGGTAAGTCCGAAAAATTATAATTCGAACACTTTTAAACGGATTCTCTTTTAGACCGTCATCGGACACAAAGAACTCGATCTTGTCTTACATCAACTCACCAACAAACTTCGTGAAATCGTTTATCCCGTCATGGAAATCATGGCCGAAAACACCGTTGATGTGAAAGTCTTCAGAACCCAAATCATCAGCAACTTGCGCGAAGTTGTTGCCATCTTCGAGCAGTTGGTACAGCTCTGCGAAGAGAAAGTCTTGCGTAAGTGACCTCAGGATGGGTTAATGGTAACAGTTGGTGATTCTTTGTCTTTTTGCAGCCGTAGAAATCAAAACTCTTCTCGTCAGAGTCATCTACCATTACTTCTACGCCGTCAAGCACGTTATCCAAGAAACCAGATTCGGTAACAAGATCGGTTTCTACACTCCCAAGTACTACTCCACCGAATACTATGGCAAGCACGGATACGGACTCTACGAAAAGGAATTCCACAACCGCTTCTACACCCCATACAAATACGAATCCAACTACGAAATTCCCTTCGAATACAAAAACATCGAAAAGAACTACTACAACCCGTACAGATACGAAACTCTTTTCCCAATCCGTAAATTCGAAGCAGAATCTATGTATGGTAAGTCTCTGGAATGGAACAAGTACGAATCCAATGTTGCCGTTCCATCTTTCAACGAAGGCAATACTCTCTTCAAATACTTGAACCAAATCCGCTCCGAAGTACAAGACATCACTTTGTATCTCGAAAAAGATTTCCCAGAAGACCGCTTGGCTCTTAAAACCGTCACCTGGCAATCGCACAAACTTGTTGAAGCTATCGAGGTCATCATCAACAAACTCCACGAAGAAACCTTCACCTATCAAACTGAGATCTTCAGAGAGGTCGTCTCCCTTTTGAAGGAAGTACGTGACTCCCTCAAGCAATTCACCGTCTACAACGAAATCACCAACATCCACGAAATTAAGAAGAACTTCATCGTCTCCATCAACGTCGTTCTTGAGCGTTTCGAAAAATTGGTAAACATCACCTACAAACTCTACCCTGAATTCCAATACACTTTAAAGTACCTTTTCGTCGACTTCGTCAACACCCTTCACGGAATCCGTTCTCACTTTATCCACATCAACGAAGGCTTAGAAGTTGTCCAAACCCCACGTGTTTTGATCAAGCAAATCCACGACTATACCAACGAACTTACCCAACTTCTTCAAGAATTCGTCCACCCAACCCAAATTAAGGTCGCCCTCCGCGAATACCTCATCGTCGTCAACGAAATCGTCCGCAAGTTGCAAGAAGAGGTAAGTGCGCCAAATTATAGTTCGAACACCTTTGGACCGGTTCTCTTTTAGACCGTCTTGGGACACAAAGAACTCGACCTTGTCTTACATCAGCTCACCATCAAACTTCGTGAAATCGTATACCCCATCATGGAAATCATGACCGAAAACACCGTTGATGTCACAGTCTTCAGAACCCAAATCATCAGCAACTTGCGCGAAGTTGTTGCCATCTTCGAGCAGTTGGTACAGCTCTGCGAAGACAAAGTCTTGCGTAAGTAACCTCGGGATGGGTTAATGGTAACAGTAGGTAATTCTTTTGTTTTTTTTTCAGCCGTAGAAATCAGAACTCTTCTCGTCAGAGTCATCTACCACTACTTCTACGCCGTCAAGCACGTTATCCAAGAAACCAGATTCGGTAACAAGATCGGTTTCTACACTCCCAAGTACTACTCCACCGAATTCTATGGCAAGCACGGATACGGACTCTACGAAAAGGAATTCCACAACCGCTTCTACACCCCATACCAATACGAAACCAAATACTACAACATTCCCTTCGAATACAAGAACATTGAAAACAACTACTACAACCCATACAGCTACGAAACTCTTTTCCCCGTTCACCAGAACCAAATCGAGTCTTTCTATTGCAAAAACCTCCAGTGGAACAAATACGAATCCCCCAAGGATTTAGTCTTAACCGTCCAAATGCTTGTCAAACGCATCTTCAACCGCTTCGAACACAACACCTGGGAAGTTACCGATGTCAACACCGTTCTCCTCCACAACATCCGTGAGTTCATCACCGTCCTCGACAACATCTCAGAGAAATTCGAAACCAAAGTAAGTATAACTCGCTGGATTCGCTGACATTGACTAACCAAAATTGTTTGCAGATGACCTTCGAACGTTCCCTTCACACCGAAAAGTACGTAGAGGAATTCATCTACAGCATCAAGGAAATCAAGAGAGAACTCAAGCAAACCATCAACACCGAAGTTTTCACCAACTTGCCTGAACTCAAGATCCGCTTCCTCCGTTACATTGAAGTTGTTGCTGCCGAATTTTGCAGATTGATCGAGAACCAACAAGTATACGGTCTCGAAAGTTTCGTGGTCAAGGACATCTTTAACAAATTCATCTCCTTCTTGAACAAGGTCAGCTACGAACGCAGCTACGTCTCCGAGCACTACCCAATCAAAGGATTCAACGGTTTCTCCTCCAAGTATTACAAGGACAACACCATCGTCCCAACCAATTACAACAGCTACTCCCACGGGCTCCCAACTGTTTACAACCAATTGTACTAAAATGTGGTTTGCTGTGATTACTTGTGATCTCAGTATTTAAATAAATCTGACCTTTTTTTGTATATTCTTTTTTGTGTGTATTTCTACCTTCTAAAAATGTGTTTAGAATTATAAAAATTAGGGCGATTTATCTGAAAGAGAAGTGGGAGAAAATTGTTAATTATACGTATTAGTTTGTCGCTTAATAAGCGATACTTAATATCGAATAGGATGGTGCGTAGCGCACATTGCAAATGTAAGGCCACCGCCTTTCGATCGGAATGACAACAAATTTGTAGTGGTTCTATCAGAAACTGTTGGGCGCAGTCCCTATGCCCTAAAATAAATAATAGTAATGTTTTTACCGTGACCAAATACACAGAATTCTTTTGTGCAACAAAGGGATTAACTCAACTATGGGCACATTGATACACAAGAAATGCTTTGACCCGATTGGTAATAAAAAAGGAACAGAATGAATATTTAACTTATAAAGGAAGCGCTCGAGAGGTGAGTCAATAAAATTCATTGTAGAGCAACTTACTGAGTAGAAATATGCAATTTAGAGTAAATGGAAGGAAACGTCAAGTAAAAACAGGCATACGTATTGGACCAAAAAGATATGCAACATAATTTTCAATAATAATACTTTTATCAACTACAATAATTATAAAATAAACAAAAAGGTAAAGTAATGTCTATTTGTTTTGGTCCAATATATATGCGTCCGTAATGAACTCCAATTCTCACAGAACTTCAAGGTACCTACTACCTTTCATTTACTATCTTTTAATTGAGTTCAATATATATTAATTTATCATACATAAACTTGTGTGTGGTCTAATATACAAAAATGTAACAGATGAGGCGCTGGTTAGAGATAGACTTAAGTTAGGATTGACATTTGTGTATGTGCTTAATTATTCTTAATGGAAATTCAATTGTAAACGGAATAATGTTTTCCACTTACGCAAACAGCTAGTAAATCATATTTAAATTTAGATGAAACGAGTAATTATCTGATTTTACTTGTCTGTTGTAAAACGTTTACTGCGGTGGCCTCAAAGACCAAAAATGATGCCTTTAATTAAGTTCTGCAAGAAACAGACCAACCATCTTACTGCAGCTGTGAGTGGGTCCAAAATTGCGCCTCCAACTTTGGTTCTGTAAACTACATGGCCATTTCTGAGTTTCCGCGGCCAATCGATGTCGAGTACTGCCATTTACGCGTTTGCTCGTAGTAGACCGAAAAGTTAAGGATCTCAGTCAACAAAAAACAAGTGGGTATAGGTGTACCTAAATAAGGAACCATTGTCTACGTCTACTAGAAATCTAATCCGGTCTCAGGCACCAAGATGTTTTTCTGTCACGGTAGCTTACAACACGTAACGTTGGGTTGTATTGTTTATCAAGGTCCTTCTGCTTATATATAAGTCCGTAGTGTGTAACTTATGCTTAGGTTAAGCCTTAACCTAAGCATAAGTTACCTTAACCGTTAAGGCATGGAAAGCAGTTGGTAGCAGTACACACGGCTCGTTGAGTACGTTTATTCAGGAACACCTGAGCCCCGATTCTGTGGTGGGAAAAGAGTTAATTTGCAAATAACTTCGGATGGAAGACCATGAGTTTGTCGGATATTATCGAGTTTAGTAGCGGTTTGACCACAGTTTGTTCAGATTATTTTATTCAAATGATGAGCTAAGAAGAACTGGTTCTTACTAATGCATAACCTTGAGTGTAAGTCCAAAATGTTAATTAAGGAATAAATCTAAATAGCTAGTAGTATGCTTTTAATTTGTCTCGTCTTTATGCTACTTCAAATAATCTGGAAAATTGTAGACACAAACTAAAATCTATGGTCCCAGCACTACCATCTAGCTAGGACTCTAGGAGGTCAGAGTGTGGGAGTAGGTGAGTGGCATAATAATCTGTGTATTTAACCCTGCCCCACCGCAGTGCCTAATTGTGTCTGCCACTCAAACTTAATTTTCATTTCAGATCTTTTAGATCCCGCACTCTATTTCTATACTGCTGGTTCACGTGCTTTCTCTTTCGAATTGAGTTTAATACGATCCCCATTTTTATTTTTTACGGGTTCTTATGAACCAATATTTTTCAATGCTTCGATGCCAATCTTCGATTTTAATTAGTTTCTCGACTAGCAAACAAACTCTACCGCGTCTCGATTCCTCATAATCTCTTAATAATTCATCTAAATCCATACCTACACGTACACCTCGGCAGAATAGCAACGCGTTTCTTGTGAATCTGATTACCTCGCGCCAAACTTGAGCCTGATAATTTTATTGCGCCATTAAAATCAAAGATAAATTATATGATCTTACCCAAATATCCCTATTGGAAAGTCATTGGCTAAAAAGAAATTTTAAAAGTTAGTTATCTAATAGAACAACTGCCTCACAATTAGCTACCCAAACGAAATTCCAACCGCTACAAAGAATCAATCTCCTACCCCTCTACAGTTACATGCCTTAGATTTTTTTTCAACTTTGAAATTTGATATAAAAATAAACCTTAACTGGATATACGAGTGGATATATTTTGAATTTTTCTAGAAAATCTTAGCACATGTACCCATTCCCAAAAAAATGGCCTCTTGTAATATAAGCACGCATATTACTGTCAGAATTTCTGAAATAAGTCACATAGGTACCTATTCCCTACATTGCATATACCTACACTATACCTACAGTGTGCTTATAGTTTTAAAAATTCGAAAGCTAAAGCAAATACAACATCCAGAAATTGGCGAATCCAAAATGGAATGTTGATTCGATCACAAGGATGAAGGTATTAATAGCAATAATATATACTACATTAAAATCGCAATTTTTTTGCATTTGGCCTATTGCAAAACATCTGGGCTTTTCGGTCATATCCCACGAAGTTGGATTGGATTAAGTAAAAAAAAAGATCGGTTACGCAAAATTGATAAATGTATTACAAAGTTAATAATAATTATTTTGATAGCAGATAATTGTTTCAATGCATTAATTATGAATGAAATTCTATGCAATCCGCAAAAATTTTTGCAACAAACCGCGCTTATTTATTCACTCAAATTGCATACTCGCAAATAATCAACTATATTCGACGGTCCTCGCCATAACCAAATCAATTCCTGTAGAAGAAGTAGCAAAAAATATTATTCGTCGCTTATCTAATTGTTATGCGAGAAAGGTGATGTGATAAGAAGGTGAATGAAACCAATAGGTCAAATGATGGGCATTTTTGTAGTATAAATAGGCACCGAATTTTGGATGTCGGCACTTCACTTGTTGAGGCAAGCAAGCATAAGTGAACATGGCAAAGTTAGCGATCTTCTTCTTGGTGGCTGTGGCTTTTCAAGTAAGTAAAACTATTCATTTCGGTAAGTTTGATAATCATTGGATTTTGCTCTTCTTAGGCCAGTTTCGCCGTACCAACCTTCTACGAAGATAATACTCTTCTTAAGTACGTAAGCGAAATCCGCAACGAAGTACAAGACATCACTTTGTACCTCGAAAAAGACTTCCCCGAAGATCGCTTGGCTCTTAAAACCGTCACTTGGCAATGTCACAAACTTGTTGAAGCTATCCAAGTAATCATCAACAAGCTCCACGAAGAAACCTTCACCTACCAAAGTGAAGGAGTTGGCATCTTCAGAGAAGTCGTCTCCCTTTTGAAGGAAGTGCGTGACTCGCTCAAACAAATCACCCTCTACAATGAAATCACCAACATCCACGAAGTTAAGAAGAACTTCATCGTCTCCATCAACCTGGTTCTTGAGCGTTTCGAAAAATTGGTGCAACTCACCTACAAACTCTACCCTGAATTCCAATACACTTTGAAATACCTTTTCGTCGACTTCTTGACTACCATCCGCGGAATCCGTTCCCACTTTATCCACATCAACGAAGGTTTGGAAGTTGTCAAAGCTCCACGCGTGTTGATCAAGGAAATCCACGAATACACCAACGAAGTTACCCAGCTTCTCCAGGAAGTTGTCCACCCAACCCAAATTAAGGTAGCCCTCCGCGAATACCTCATCGCCGTCAACGAAATCGTCCGCAAGTTGCAAGAAGAGGTAAGTCCGAAAAATTATAATTCGAACACTTTTAAACGGATTCTCTTTTAGACCGTCATCGGACACAAAGAACTCGATCTTGTCTTACATCAACTCACCAACAAACTTCGTGAAATCGTTTATCCCGTCATGGAAATCATGGCCGAAAACACCGTTGATGTGAAAGTCTTCAGAACCCAAATCATCAGCAACTTGCGCGAAGTTGTTGCCATCTTCGAGCAGTTGGTACAACTCTGCGAAGATAAAGTCTTGCGTAAGTAACCTCAGGATGGGTTAATGGTAACAGTGTAGGTGATTCTTTGTCTTTTTGCAGCCGTAGAAATCAAAACTCTTCTTGTCAGAGTCATCTACCAATACTTCTACGCCGTCAAGCACGTTATCCAAGAAACCAGATTCGGTAACAAGATCGGTTTCTACACTCCCAAGTACTACTCCACCGAATACTATGGCAAGCACGGATACGGACTCTACGAAAAGGAATTCCACAACCGCTTCTACACCCCATACAAATACGAATCCAACTACGAAATTCCCTTCGAATACAAAAACATCGAAAAGAACTACTACAACCCGTACAGATACGAAACTCTTTTCCCAATCCGTAAATTCGAAGCAGAATCTATGTATGGTAAGTCTCTGGAATGGAACAAGTACGAATCCAATGTTGCCGTTCCATCTTTCAACGAAGGCAATACTCTCTTCAAATACTTGAACCAAATCCGCTCCGAAGTACAAGACATCACTTTGTATCTCGAAAAAGATTTCCCAGAAGACCGCTTGGCTCTTAAAACCGTCACCTGGCAATCGCACAAACTTGTTGAAGCTATCGAGGTCATCATCAACAAACTCCACGAAGAAACCTTCACCTATCAAACTGAGATCTTCAGAGAGGTCGTCTCCCTTTTGAAGGAAGTACGTGACTCCCTCAAGCAATTCACCGTCTACAACGAAATCACCAACATCCACGAAATTAAGAAGAACTTCATCGTCTCCATCAACGTCGTTCTTGAGCGTTTCGAAAAATTGGTAAACATCACCTACAAACTCTACCCTGAATTCCAATACACTTTAAAGTACCTTTTCGTCGACTTCGTCAACACCCTTCACGGAATCCGTTCTCACTTTATCCACATCAACGAAGGCTTAGAAGTTGTCCAAACCCCACGTGTTTTGATCAAGCAAATCCACGACTATACCAACGAACTTACCCAACTTCTTCAAGAATTCGTCCACCCAACCCAAATTAAGGTCGCCCTCCGCGAATACCTCATCGTCGTCAACGAAATCGTCCGCAAGTTGCAAGAAGAGGTGAGTGGGCCAAATTATAGTTCGAACACTTTTAAACGGATTCTCTTTTAGACCGTCTTGGGACACAAAGAACTCGACCTTGTCTTACATCAGCTCACCAACAAACTTCGTGAAATTGTGTACCCCATCATGGAAATCATGACCGAAAACACCGTTGACGTGAAAGTCTTCAGAACCAAGATCATCACCAACTTGCGCGAAGTTGTTGCCATCTTCGAGCAATTGGTACAGCTCTGCGAAGACAAAGTCTTGCGTAAGTGACCTCAGGATGGGTTAATGGTAAAAGTTGGTGATTTTTCGTTGTTTTTTTCAGCCGTTGAAATCAAAACTCTTCTCGTCAGAGTGATCTACCACTACTTCTACGCCGTCAAGCACGTTATCCAAGAAACCAGATTCGGGAACAAGATCGGTTTCTACACTCCCAAATACTACACCACCGAATTCTATGGCAAACACGGATACGGACTCTACGAAAAGGAATTCCACAACCGCTTCTACACCCCATACCAATACGAAACCAAATACTACAACATTCCCTTCGAATACAAGAACATTGAAAACAACTACTACAACCCATACAGTTACGAAACTCTTTTCCCCGTTCACCAGAACCAAATCGAGTCTTTCTATGGCAAAAACCTCCAGTGGAACAAATATGAATCCCCCAAGGATTTAGTCTTAACCGTCCAAATGCTTGTCAAACGCATCTTCAACCGTTTCGAACAGAACACCTGGGAAGTTACCGATGTCAACACCGTTCTCCTCCACAACATCCGTGAGTTCATCAACGTCCTCGACAACATCTCAGAGAAATTCGAAAACAAAGTAAGTGTAACTCGCTGGATTCGCTGACGTTGACTAACCAAAATTGTTTGCAGATGACCTTCGAACGTTCCCTTCACACCGAAAAGTACGTAGAAGAATTCATCTACAGAATCAAACAAATCAAAAGAGAACTCCAACAAACCATCAGCAACGAAGTTTTCACCAACTTGCCTGAACTCAAGATCCGCTTCCTCCGTTACATTGAAGTTGTTCTGCCGAATTTTGCAAATTGATCGAGAACCAACAAGTATACGGCCTTGAAAGTTTCTTGATCAAGGATGTCTTCAACAGATTCATCTCCTTCTTGAACAAGGTCAGCTACGAACGCAGCTACGTCTCCGAGCACTACCCAATCAAGGGATTCAACGGTTTCTCCTCTAAGTATTATAAGGACAACACCATCGTCCCATCCAATTACAACAGCTACTCCCACGGGCTCCCAACTGTTTACAACCAATTGTACTAAAATGTGGTTTGCTGTGATTACTTGTGATCTCAGTATTTAAATAAATCTGACCTTTTTTTGTATATTCTTTTTTGTGTGTATTTCTACCTTCTAAAAATGTGTTTAGAATTATAAAAATTAGGGCGATTTATCTGAAAGCAAAGTGGGAAAAGATGTATCTAAACTTTTCGTACTTAGTGACATTTGGTATGCTTGAAATTTCAAACACCTCGTTCACCCGCAATTCGCATTTTGGTGGATTTCGCTAAAAACCCTCTACAAATTGAATACTAATTCAATTTTTGAGGCCACGTCTCATACACACACGAGAAAGACAGACCACGATTCGAGCTTTAAGAAACTATTGGGCCCTTGAGCGGCTACCCCTCGAAACGCGCCTTGCAAAAGGTGGTTAAGTTCGCTCCTAGGAAGAAAAACAAAATTCCGCCACGCAAGATTTGTTCGTTTACAAGATCTATCCGACGCAACGATACCAATTTGAAAACAAGATATGTACATGTTCACTTCTCGTCTTTCTACAAGCGATCTTCTATTGTCCCCAGAGACTATAACAAGTCCATGATTGACCCTCATTTGTTGCGAGCCAGCCAGCCGGCCAAAGTGAGATTAAAAGCTAACTTTTTACAAATAAACTCGCAAAAATGCGTTAAAAATTCTTAATAGTTTGTATGACAACATTTGTTAACCAACATGACATCCCAATAACTTTATCATTTTGAAGAGACGCCCTACTGGGCATACTACACTAAAAATAAGATAAACTACATAACATTTGGTTAGATCGATACAAACTACGTCATTTAAAATCAAAATTTTCCGTCCTCTGTCTGTCTGTGGAGACCTCGGCCCCTGGGCCACCTAGAGACTTCGGATTTTCGCTAATTGATAGCTGCTATGGCCTAGATTTGCCCGTTACGCATCATTTACAGTTGTGTTACGCGGCAACACCCATGAGTGGGTTTTGAAAACATTTATTTCTTTTGAACTCTAATAATTGGTACATCAAAATAACTCCGGCGGTTTCTTAATAATATATAATAATGGTTTTAGGCCGTGACCAAATACACAGAATTCTTTTGTGCAACAACAGCATTAACATAAAAAAAGACAACTGCGTGCGTGGCTCATTAATAAACAAAAAATGCATGGGGCCGATCCGAACTAAAGAAGGAAATGAATTTTTAACTTGTAAAGAGAGCGATCGGGAGGCCAGTGAATAAGGTTCATTGTAGAACAACTTACTGAGTAGAAATATGCAACTTAGACTGAATGAAATCGTCGAGTAAAGACAGACATACGTATCGAGCCCAAAAAGATATGCAACACAATTTTATGAATTAGAATTTATTATACATTTAAGGAATACGATTACGCTTATTTGATACTATGTGGTTTTGCCAATTTATCAATGTGTAATACTTTTATTAACTACATAAATTATAAAATAAACAAAAAGATAAAGTAATGTCTATTTGTTTTGTTCAAAGTACTACCTTACATTTACTACATATCTATTAACTGAGTTCAATATATATTAATTTGCACATCATACCTATATAAACTTGTGTGTGGTCTGATGTGGAATAAATTTTACGATTCCACAAGCAGCTAGTAAATTATATTTGAATTTAGATGAAACGAGTAATTATCTTATTTTGTTTATCTCTTTGGTATTTTAATTATATTTAAATTCATCATTTCATGAACATAAATTGGAATATTTCAGAGAGGTTTGTATTGGTTTAGGGTTATTGTAAAACGTTTACTGCGGCAGTTAAATTCCGCAAGAAATGGGCCAACCATATTACTACATCTGTCAGTGGGGCCAAAATTCTGCCGCTATCTTTGGTACTGTAAACCCGTTTCTATTTTTTTTACTATTTCTCCGCGTTTCCTGTGAATCTGAGCTTACCTCGCGCCAACCTTGAGCATGATAATTTTATTGCGCCATTAAAATCAAATAAAAATTCTATGACAGATCCTGCATGCGTCTTACTCAAATGACTCTTTTTGGAAAGTTATTGATTTAAAACAAATTTTAGAATAAAAAATGTTAAAACTCTATCTAGCTATCTAATAGAACAACTATGCCTCATAATTAACTACCCTAAGAAAATTCAATTCCAACCGCTATCAAAAATCAACCCCCTACCTCTCTCAGTTACATGCTTCAGATTTTGTTAATTTTTTTGGATATATTTTGAATTTTCCTAATTTTAGCACGCATATACCTATTCCCAAAAAAATGAGGATGAACGTATTAATAGCAATAATATACTTATAGGACATTAAAATCGCAATTTTTTGCATTTAGCGTATTGCAAAACATCTTTTCGGCCATATCCCACAAGTTGGATTGGATTAATTAAAAAAAAGATCGGTTACGCAAAATTGATAAATGTAATACAAAGTTAATAATAATTATTTTGATAGCAGATAAGTATTTCAATGCATTAACTATGAATGAAACTATGCCATCCGCAAAAATTTTTGCAACAAAGCGCGTTTCTTTATTCACTCAAATTGCGGACTCGCAAATAATCAATATTCAAGTGTCCTCACGATAATCCAATCAATTCCTGCAGAAGAAGTAGCAAAAAATATTATTCGTCGCTTATCTAATTGTTATGCGAGAAAGGTGATGTGATAAGAAGGTGAATGAAACCAATAGGTCAAATGATGGGCATTTTTGTAGTATAAATAGGCACCGAATTTTGGATGTCGGCACTTCACTTGTTGAGGCAAGCAAGCATAAGTGAACATGGCAAAGTTAGCGATCTTCTTCTTGGTGGCTGTGGCTTTTCAAGTAAGTAAAACTATTCATTTCGGTAAGTTTGATAATCATTGGATTTTGCTCTTCTTAGGCCAGTTTCGCCGTACCAACCTTCTACGAAGATAATACTCTTCTTAAGTACGTAAGCGAAATCCGCAACGAAGTACAAGACATCACTTTGTACCTCGAAAAAGACTTCCCCGAAGATCGCTTGGCTCTTAAAACCGTCACTTGGCAATGTCACAAACTTGTTGAAGCTATCCAAGTAATCATCAACAAGCTCCACGAAGAAACCTTCACCTACCAAAGTGAAGGAGTTGGCATCTTCAGAGAAGTCGTCTCCCTTTTGAAGGAAGTGCGTGACTCGCTCAAACAAATCACCCTCTACAATGAAATCACCAACATCCACGAAGTTAAGAAGAACTTCATCGTCTCCATCAACCTGGTTCTTGAGCGTTTCGAAAAATTGGTGCAACTCACCTACAAACTCTACCCTGAATTCCAATACACTTTGAAATACCTTTTCGTCGACTTCTTGACTACCATCCGCGGAATCCGTTCCCACTTTATCCACATCAACGAAGGTTTGGAAGTTGTCAAAGCTCCACGCGTGTTGATCAAGGAAATCCACGAATACACCAACGAAGTTACCCAGCTTCTCCAGGAAGTTGTCCACCCAACCCAAATTAAGGTAGCCCTCCGCGAATACCTCATCGCCGTCAACGAAATCGTCCGCAAGTTGCAAGAAGAGGTAAGTCCGAAAAATTATAATTCGAACACTTTTAAACGGATTCTCTTTTAGACCGTCATCGGACACAAAGAACTCGATCTTGTCTTACATCAACTCACCAACAAACTTCGTGAAATCGTTTATCCCGTCATGGAAATCATGGCCGAAAACACCGTTGATGTGAAAGTCTTCAGAACCCAAATCATCAGCAACTTGCGCGAAGTTGTTGCCATCTTCGAGCAGTTGGTACAACTCTGCGAAGATAAAGTCTTGCGTAAGTAACCTCAGGATGGGTTAATGGTAACAGTGTAGGTGATTCTTTGTCTTTTTGCAGCCGTAGAAATCAAAACTCTTCTTGTCAGAGTCATCTACCAATACTTCTACGCCGTCAAGCACGTTATCCAAGAAACCAGATTCGGTAACAAGATCGGTTTCTACACTCCCAAGTACTACAGTACCGAATATTATGGCAAGCACGGATACGGACTCTACGAAAAGGAATTCCACAACCGCTTCTACACCCCATACAAATACGAATCCAACTACGAAATTCCCTTCGAATACAAAAATATCGAAAAGAACTACTACAACCCGTACAGATATGAAACTCTTTTCCCAATCCGTAAATTCGAAGCAGAATCTATCTATGGTAAGGCTTTGGAATGGAACAAGTACGAATCCAATGTTGCCGTTCCATCTTTCAACGAAGGCAATACTCTCTTCAAGTACTTGAACCAAATCCGCTCCGAAGTACAAGACATCACTTTGTATCTCGAAAAAGATTTCCCAGAAGACCGCTTGGCTCTTAAAACCGTCACCTGGCAATCGCACAAACTTGTTGAAGCTATCGAGATCATCATCAACAAACTCCACGAAGAAACCATCACCTATCAAACTGAGATCTTCAGAGAAGTCGTCTCCCTTTTGAAGGAAGTACGTGACTCCCTCAAGCAATTCACCGTCTACAACGAAATCACCAACATCCACGAAATTAAGAAGAACTTCATCGTCTCCATCAACGTCGTTCTTGAGCGTTTCGAAAAATTGGTAAACATCACCTACAAACTCTACCCTGAATTCCAATACACTTTGAAGTACCTTTTCGTCGACTTCGTCAACACCCTTCACGGAATCCGCTCTCACTTTATTCACATCAACCAAGGCTTAGAAGTTGTCCAAACCCCACGTGTTTTGATCAAGCAAATCCACGACTACACCAACGAACTTACCCAACTTCTTCAAGAATTCGTCCACCCAACCCAAATTAAGGTCGCCCTCCGTGAATACCTCATCGTCGTCAACGAAATCGTCCGCAAATTGCAAGAAGAGGTGAGTGGGCCAAATTATAGTTCGAACACTTTTAAACGGATTCTCTTTTAGACCGTCTTGGGACACAAAGAACTCGACCTTGTCTTACATCAGCTCACCAACAAACTTCGTGAAATTGTGTACCCCATCATGGAAATCATGACCGAAAACACCGTTGACGTGAAAGTCTTCAGAACCAAGATCATCACCAACTTGCGCGAAGTTGTTGCCATCTTCGAGCAGTTGGTACAGCTCTGCGAAGACAAAGTCTTGCGTAAGTAACCTCAGGATGGGTTAATGGTATCAGTAGGTGATTTTTGGGTTTTTTTTTGCAGCCGTAGAAATCAGAACTCTTCTTGTCAGAGTCATCTACCACTACTTCTACGCCGTCAAGCACGTTATCGAAGAAACCAGATTCGGTAACAAGATCGGTTTCTACACTCCCAACTACTACTCCACCGAATACTATGGCAAGCACGGATACGGACTCTACGAAAAGGAATTCCACAACCGCTTCTACACCCCATACCAATACGAAACCAAATACTACAACATTCCCTTCGAATACAAGAACATTGAAAACAACTACTACAACCCATACAGTTACGAAACTCTTTTCCCCGTTCACCAGAACCAAATCGAGTCTTTCTATGGCAAAAACCTCCAGTGGAACAAATATGAATCCCCCAAGGATTTAGTCTTAACCGTCCAAATGCTTGTCACACGCATCTTCAACCGTTTCGAACACAATACCTGGGAAGTTACCGATGTCAACACCGTTCTCCTCCACAACATCCGTGAGTTCATCAACGTCCTCGACAACATCTCGGAGAAATTCGAAAACAAAGTAAGTGTAACTCGCCGGATTCCCTGACGTTGACTAACCAAAATTGTTTGCAGATGACCTTCGAACGTTCCCTTCACACCGAAAAGTACGTAGAAGAATTCATCTACAGAATCAAGGAAATCAAAAGAGAACTCCAACAAACCATCAGCAACGAAGTTTTCACCAACTTGCCTGAACTCAAGATCCGCTTCCTCCGTTACATTGAAGTTGTTGCTGCCGAATTTTGCAAATTGATCGAGAACCAAGAAGTATACGGCCTTGACAGTTTCTTGGTCAAGGATATCTTCAACAAATTCATCTCCTTCTTGAACAAGGTCAGCTACGGACGCAGCTACGTCTCAGAGCAGTACCCAATCAAGGAATTCAACGGTTTCTCCTCCAAGTATTACAAGGACAACACCATCGTCCCATACAATTACAACAGCTACTCCCACGTGCTTCCCTTCTTTAAGAATGGATTGTTCAACTCCAACACTCAAAGATTCGCCCCAACTTTTTACAACCGATTGTACTAAAATGTAGCTTGCTATGATTACGGATATGGTCTTAGTATTTAAATAAATTGAAACTTAATTATATTATTAATCCTAGCGAACTTTTTAGTCTCAAAAAGAAGGTTTCACTAACTGTCTGCTGTTCAGCGCTTCGAAATCTTTGTAACAAATTGATTGCTCTTTTCAAACAAAAATTGCATCGGTTTCCGCTTAAACAGGAAGTGGTACCGGAAGTTTGAATATGCGGGGCCCTTTTATAATTTGGTGTGATGGAAAGCTATCGCTTAATAAGTGCATTAATTGCAGAGAAGTCACTGATAGACTTATAGAGACCGAACCCGAAAAACTCGTTGCTGGTCAAATTGTGCCATTGTACCTATTCCAAAAAGTATACCAGCAAGTTCATACGTAGATATAGGACAAAAAAAGAAAAATAATTACGTGTCACTTGAAGCACCTGGAATTTCTGAGTGCCGTTTACGGGGACCACCCTATATAATAACGATTGGTTTGGGCTTCGTTACATAGAAAACCGTAATTTCGAGAACTTTCCGCGATGCCATGGAGACAGGGAGCTGCCGTAATTAATTAGTCCGTCTATGACCTTTCCTGTTGGAATTTTGGAATTATTTTTGTAACCACCGAAGAGTCTTGTCTTGGCGAAGATGAGGGACACTTAATCCGAAAACTTACAATTAATATAAAGTTAATTGATGTAACGAGTTCATGCGTTTCCATTCAGCCTTTTGAGTATGTATAATTAGCACACACTAATTATACAGTTGCAGTAATGGAGCACCTATCGAGAAGATTTTGGTGTCAAATTGTTCGCGCTTAATTAACGAATCGATTACCAGATGTTCGGGAATTTCAGCACGAACTGGAGCCGAGTAATTACTTAAAAATCAAATCGATTGGTCTACATTTCGTATTGAATACGCGATGAATTGGATTTTCCCTGTTCCACTTCTACCAAATTGGGTTTTCTTTAGACGGTAAACGCTCAATTTTGGAAGGATCTTTTTGCGTTCTACTTGCCCTCACCGGCTATGCGCGAGCTGCAGCTGAGTTCGTCGCAACTCAATACTTTTTCCATAAATTTACAAGAAAAATTTCAAAATCAACTGTTTTGACATTCATTCTCTTAACAAAACATCCACGGGTAAGTAGAAGTTGGTGATCAACATGATTTTGGTCCATTTGTCACCCTAACACGTCCCTATGTTTAGCGCATTTTTGAAAAAAATACGCTATTATATCCGTTGTGGCTGGCTGGCTGGCTGTCCGGCTGAGATCTCAGCAACAACAATAGCTAGAGACTTCAAATTTTCACTAAAAGCTTTCTGGCATACTGTAGATGTGCAGGTTCTAGTCTATTGTGAGTTAGAGATTACTCGTGAGATCGATAAGTTTAAACGTTCCTAATAAAATACCTACTGATATGTATTACCAAGCATTTACAACTTGTTTTCTTTTTCATTCCGTAAAAATCCAGTATGGCGCCTAAAAGAAATAAGAATGTAGTAGCCTGTACCTTCTATAACTAATAGGGCCCCTTCACGTGCATTCCCGGAACGACGCTCCGTAAGTTTTGGAGTGACGTCAATCCAAAACTGTGCGTGTAGTTCATCCTCGCGCCATGAATGATACGCGCCTGGCGTGGAGCGATGGAATCAAACATGTTTGAATTCCTGGCGTGGAGCGAGACCCTCCGCGCGCCAAATGCGAGCGTGTAGTTTCGTTTCGCGCCTTCCCTTCGCGCCGTTAGAAGAGGATGCGCTGTTAAACATTGGAGAGGAAAAAGGATAGACTACATTAGCAAAAGTCCTATAGGTTTGTTTGTGTGTGCTGTGCGGTGTGACATTAATTGTGGTAATCCTCTGGATTGGTATTATTACGAGTATTATTAATTTCTTGTAATAAAATCAAATCGCCAAATTTCTGTCTCTTCAAATACCATGGCTTGGACCTCTTCCTCCTCTTCTTGGGCTCTTCATTTACGTTATCCATCATATATTTGTGAAGAATTACAGCTGCAATTTGTCTTTTTTTTACCAAACTCATCTTGCTGTCGACAGTACCACACTGGAATGAATGAAATGGCGCGAACGTGTAGTTTATTCACTGCACAACGCGCCAGAAGTTGGCGCTCCACGCTTCGTTCCAAAACCGATGGCGCGTCGTTCCGGGAATGCACGTGAAGGGGCCCCATAACGTGTTATTATTATGATAACAGGTGCAGATTCTCTCACAAAAGTGACCATAGAAGGTACAAACGCGCGGGAATCGTCTATTTTCGACCGTTCAAGCTGGGGAAAACAAAAACGAAAATTGACACTTTCGCATTTTCCACCACAAACTTTTTCGACCACTCCTTTTTGGGGTTTAAGGGAAAATTAACGAAAATTTCCCGGCCAATCCTGTAACCCTTCTAACCCGCAAAGTTATTAGTTTAGTTTGACTTATTTTTTGGCCTACATTGCCAATTCACGAACAAATTTGATAAAAAATCCACCTGAAAAATTGATCGTAATCGGTCCACTCGTTAGTAACGGACAGATGGACGGACGGACAGACAGGCAGACAACGCAAAATTATGGACTCGCTAGGAGCTCGTGAATAATCGTCCCAACTTCTTTCACATGACACAAATGTGGACTGAACTTAAAAGCTTTAATGCGAAAGGAATCTGGGTATCAAAAAGCCGCTTCTAAAATAGAGCCATCTACACTCGAAGATATATATTTTGAAAAATACGTACCTTGTGCAGAATTAGATGCCGATTCTGAATCAAGAGGGCGCGATGGTCGCGGGGATTGCAAATAGCCAGAAAAAAATAATTTGTACAAAATTTCACACTTCCCAAAAGTTAGAAATTTTACCTTTACATCGCATGTACGAAGTTATTTATGAATATTTTTCAAGAATTTGTGCACCATTCGAAAGCTCATGGTATTTGTCGTCTCACAGAACAAAAAGGAAGTCAATGTTGTCTTTAACAACCACTCTATAAACTGTTAAAGCTGTATATGCGCGAAAAGTGTAATATAAATTTCAGTCGCGAGGTATTTTCGTTATTGTTGGAGATAGAGGTATACATATCGAGACAAAATATGTACAATGAAACAAGGTATTTTTTTCTGGCTATTTGCAATCCCCGCGACCATTGCGCACTCTTGATTCAGAATCGGCATCTAATTCTGCACAAGATACGTATTTTTCAAAATGTATATCTTTGAGTTCACATATCATGTTCGAATTTTGACTCCCAGATTCCCGACTAATTTGTAAAACTAGGTAGATAAAGATACGAGTATATATCATAAATTACAAATTAAAAATAATGGTACAAAGGGCTTTCCAAACGTTACGCCACTTTCCACTCGAGTTTCCACCACAATCTCTATTACGGTAAAAGTTGTATGAGAAGTTGAAAAGTCCAAGATATTTTCGAAAACAAATAGAAAATCCCCACGTTTCGTGTTAAGTCGTCAGCCTATATGAATAAAAATTAAAGAACCACAACCTTTATTGTATTTGGCTTATTCCAAAAACATGTTGGTGTTTTTCCGGCCAATATTTTGAGGGCAAAAAAATTGTTTGGAGACCATCGTCTAACAAAGTTGGATTGGAATAAATTAAACAAATAAAAATAAGTTATACAAAAATGATAAATGTAATACTAAGTTAATAATAATTAATTTGATGCTGATAAATTAGGTCAATGGCTCCGATTATGAAACTATCGAATTAAATACTCGCAAATAATCTACTAAATTCAGTTGTAATCAAATGTATTACTGCGGAAGACCTTGGCAAAAAAAGTTAATCATCCTTTATCTAATTGTTATGCAAGAAAGGTGATGTGATAAGGAGGTGAATGAAACTAATGGGTCAAATGCTGGGTATTTTTGTAGTATAAATAAGAATCGAATTTTAGATGTCGGCACTTCACTTGTTGAGGCAAGCATAAGTGAACATGGCAAAGTTAGCGATTTTCTTCTTGGTGGCTGTGGCTTTTCAAGTAAGTAAAACTATTCATTTCAGCAAGTTTGATAATCATTTGGCTTTGCTCTTCTTAGGCCAGTTTCGCCGTACCAACCTTCTACGAAGATAATACTCTTCTTAAGTACGTGAGCGAAATCCGCAACGAAGTACAAGACATCACTTTGTACCTCGAAAAAGACTTCCCCGAAGATCGCTTGGCTCTTAAAACCGTCACTTGGCAATGTCACAAACTTGTTGAAGCTATCCAAGTAATCATCAACAAGCTCCACGAAGAAACCTTCAGCTACCAAAGTGAAGGAGTTGGCATCTTCAGAGAAGTTGTCTCCCTTTTAAAGGAAGTGCGTGACTCGCTCAAACAAATCACCCTCTACAATGAAATCACCAATATCCACGAAGTTAAGAAGAACTTCATCGTCTCCATCAACCTGGTTCTTGAGCGTTTCGAGAAATTGGTGCAACTCACCTACAAACTCCACCCTGAATTCCAATACACTTTGAAATACCTTTTCGTCGACTTCTTGACTACCCTCCGCGGAATCCATTCCCACTTCATCCACATTAACGAAGGTTTGGAAGTTGTCAAAACTCCACGCGCTTTGATCAAGGAAATCCACGAATACACCAACGAACTTACCCAGCTTCTTCAGGAAGTTGTCCACCCAACCCAAATTAAGGTAGCCCTCCGCGAATACCTCATCGTCGTTAACGAAATCGTCCGCAAATTGCAACAAGAGGTAAGCGCGAAAAATTATTATTCGAATATCTGAACCAATTCCCTTTTAGACCGTTTTGGGACACAAAGAACACGATATTGTCTTGCATCAACTCACCAACAAACTTCGGGAAATCGTTTATCCCGTAATGGAAATCATGGCCGAAAACACCGTTGATGTGAAAGTCTTCAGAACCCAAATCATCAGCAACTTGCGCGAAGTTGTTGCCATTTTCGAACAGTTGGTACAGCTCTGCGAAGAGAAAGTTTTGCGTAAGTGACCTCTGAGTGGACTAATGGTAGCAGTTGGTAATTTTT